ATATACATACTGATTTTCCACATTTGCGTGGTACAATTTTCCTTCATAGGTTCATTTTTATTTACTTTTTGAGGTTATAATGGGATTTATTTTCCAAGTTTGATATTATAATGTTATCATAATTGGAAACTGATGTCAACTTCAATTAGTTTTGATTTGGGGACAAATCGAAAAAACACGACTTCATATTTAGAGAACATCTACAGGATATAAAAGTCTCTCATGCTCACCTAGAGGAGAGAGTCATATTAAGTCATGCTGGCTTATACACAGAGAGCACAGAGAGAAGTGGTCCTGAATTAGGAATAGATTAAATCAAAATCATTCCATGAAGATTTATTGACTGTACTAAAGTCATATATGTCATCACCAGAGAAGACAGTCGTGGCACATTTCTTGGCCTTGGAGGATGTATGTTCTATTTGTCATACTAGAACACAAAGATATACAACCTTCAACAAAAGGCAACTTGAGAGACAGTGTGATTTCAAAGGAGTGCTTGATTCAAGATCTATGTTAGTTACAAGTGCTAAAGGAGTTCAGAAAAAAACAACCAAAAAAAGACCTTTTTGGTGGGGTTGTTTTTTAACTTGGGATGCACAGGGCCAATTTCCTGAACTAAATATAATGTGAAATGGGTTCTGAAAGCTGGATATAATGTAGGCAGGCAGAGGGAAGGATGAAGAATATTACAGTATATTATGTTCTCTTATAAGGTCAGATCAAGGAATAACTCATAGACCCATTCAACTAAATATGAAACCCCCCCTAGCACTATAGCCTGAGTGTCTGTGGCCTCCCAAATTCATATGTTGAAATCCCCACCCCCAACATGGTGGTATTTGAAGGTGGGAACTTTGGGATGTGATTATGGAGAAGGTAGCCCTCATGAATGGGATTAGCACCCTTTTAAAAGAGACCATGGAGACCTCCCTTGCTCCTTGCACAGTATGAAGACACTGAAAGCCTAGACACAAACAGCCCCTATGAACCAAGAAACAGGCCCTCCTGAGACACCAAATTTGCTGGCACCTTAATCTTGAACTTTCAGCCTCCAGAGCTACAGGAAATAAATCCCCACTGATTTTAAGCCCCACAGTCTGTGGTATCCTATTATAGCAACCAGAGTAGACTGAAACACACAGGGAAAATATGGAAGAGACGGAAGGCCAGAAGTGTACTTTGCACTTGGTAGGGTTCCTTGAATATCAGGGTCACATTGACTAGAGTGCTTATCTTACTGGCAACATAGAATGAGCACAGGACTGTGGCAAATGTTTCAGAATTAGAGGGGGGTGAGCCTGGGGCCAGCATGTTATCATCTCCATGTACCGGTCAACCTGTGGGCATGGGTCAACCTCGCATAGAATGGGACTTCGTGGAGCGTTTTCTGTGAGGATCAAAGCAGGTTGTGTTTTATAAAGAGATGTTGCAAAAGAAAACATGTAGGCTTAGACTTCTGTGGAGGTCTGAGAATCAGGAGGAGGTACAGAGTCAATATGGCCAGAGATTAAAAAAACGGCAGGAATATGACAGCTCATAAAAACCAGTGAGGGCAGGACTTCCCTGGTGGCACAGTGGTTTAAGAATCCGCCTGCCAATGCAGGGGACATGGGTTCGAGCCCTGGTCTGGGAGGATCCCACATGCCGCAGAGCAACTAAGCTCGTGTGACACAATGACTGAGCCTGTGCTCTGGAGCCCGTGAGCCACAACTACGCAGCCCGCATACCACAACTACTGAAGCCCACGCGCCAAGAGCCCGTGCTCCACAACAAAAGAAGCCACCGCAATGAGAAGCCCGCGCACGGCAACAAAGCGTAGCCCCCACTGGCCGCCAACTAGAGAAAGCCCGCGTGCAGCAACGAAGACCCAGTGCTGCCAAAAATAAACAAATACATAAATAAAGTTATTAAAAAAAACAAAATGGGAACTAGGGTTTTAATTCTAGATAGCTCAGGAGCAGATTTCTATTCCTAATTTTGAGTTTAATATTTTCTCTTGGGCTCACAAGAAGTCTTAATTTAATGCTCAGTATTTATATACTAAAAGTTAATTTATCGATGGAGACATAAATCATATATGCGTTTGTGTTATATATACATTTTTGTTTCCTTTAAAGATTTCTTGTTACATAGGGTAAATCATATATTCTTACTAAATTTCAAGTTACAATGTAAACATCAGTAATTCTAACCTCCAAATTCTGTTTTGTTAGTTGGGGATTACATCTAAATCATATGTTACTTATTAAAAGTTCTCTACTGTAGTTACACAAAAGAAATTTCTTTATATAAAATGATCAAGTTGTTAATAAAACAACCGTTTTTTTTTTGTTAGTGCACATTTTGAGCAGATAAACACAGCGTTTGTACAGAAGTAAAACAACTACAGACCATGAAAGCTCTAAGTGATAACTTTCCTGACAACTCAGTGAATCAGCAGCTCACACATCAATCCTCTCACAAAAGTCCCTTCTTTGAATTCCAGAGCTGCTTTAAGTGCTGTGAGTTAATCGTATTTGAGAAATAAACAACTGTTCCAAGATATAATGAGAAACAAACAGCATTAGAGTCTCCACCTCAACCCTGTTAATTAGATTTCAATACTATTTATAACGATTTTGCCCATCACCTAATGTTGAAATGTTGCAACCTGCTCACACATTTGCCCTAATAATGAGGAAATTTCCTATTTCACAACATTATTTATTTTCCTATTTCACATCATTCTTTATTCAAATTTTATAATTGTAGAGACCTATAGTGCTTGGCAGTCATTACTGGAATTCTGCTTCTGATATGTTTTGCCAATTTGTCAGGACACCTGGCACGCAGGCGCAGCAACGAAGACCCAACACAGCCAAAAAAATAAATTAATTAATTAAAAAATAAATAAATAAAATAAATGAATTAAAAAAAATGAAGCTGTTAAAAAATATATTAAAAAATCTAAGTGAGTAATCATACATATAACTCAACAATGTTGATAAAGCTTTCTGAGTCACAGCTATTAATTTATATACTATTCACAAGTACCTCAGGATAAAATACAATATTCTAACCTTAATATTTCTACTGCTGATCCTGTTATAATACTGAAGATGGAAATACTGACAGAAATTTTTTTAAATTCTATAAGCAATATGAGTTTAATTACTTTGGAAACACCCCTCTTCCCCCGCCCCGCGCAAATAATGCCTGAACCTAGAAAGGTACATAAGTATGACCAAAAATATTTCAAAATAATAGATTTGAAGATCATTGGTAGTTTTCCCCTCAGAACATGAGTGCTTTACAGCTGGACAGTTAATTACAAACCATATCCAACAGATGATCAATCTGGTTGCATTTGTGACGGCTCCTGGGAAAGTTTTCTTGCGGGAGCTCAGCGCTCTTCCTCACAGAGCAATATTTTTTACTTTCATATGCAATAGGCATTTGTCTTTCATTGAAAGAGAAAGAGTTACTTTTTAACACAGAGGCATATGACTTAATATTTGAGTAAACTAGATTCTCTATTTTTTGTCCCAATGCTTTCTATTATTACAAAATAGCACTATTCCCTAGTAGAATCATTAGTGTGGATGAAAAGTTAGTAAATAATAGTTAGAAGAGCATGAAAGAGGTTAAGGAATTTTGCATCAAATTAGCAAGGACTGCAAATATGGATACTTTGTCCAAACATCCAAATGTTGGCCCACACATGTCAGACAGGAAGAAAGAAAGTTTACCTAACAAATCCATAAAGGAGGCAGCTATATGCAATATGTCTCAGAAAGGGCAACTGGAAAAGTGTTTCTAAAAACAGTAACATTGGAGATGACTCAGAAAAAACTGCAAGGTATTTTATATTTGAAAATGCATAAAGAAATGCAAATAAAATCTACTTGAAATATATTCATATTCTATACTTAACATATTGACTATATAGTTAATATATATTGATATTTATATATATATTAATATTATATATTTATTAATATACTATATACTTACTAATATATACTAATATATATACTATTAATCTATTAACTAGATGTAAAAATACAATTATGCATTTTTATAGCTAGAGATTTTTCTCAATTCACAAAATTGTAAATAAAGTATATCATTTTTGTATATTACTGCTAAGATTAGCATGAATGCCATTTTATTTATCTAAGCAGCACAATTTCTTCTGCCTACTGTCAGTTTTTCTACAAGACCCTATATTCAACAAACTTAATCTCTAATGTAGAATTTTAAAACCAGAGGATAAAGTCTTATTTGCCATACATGTATATATTTAAATATGTTCATCAGTTTGGCTAAGAAATTCCAATTTCTTTGAAAGGGATATTCCTCATTCCTTGGCCAACATTAAAAAAAAAAAAAGATGAAAATATTTGTACAGGTACAATTTTTTTTTTCTTGGTGATAAATGAAAAATATAACTTAAAATCATCCCAGGAAATACTTTTCTTTCTTCATGGTAAAAAATCATAGATTAAAAGAGAAAGCTAATGAGGAATGGAATATTCTATGATGGTGTGAACCAAAAATTCTCCAAAGAGCACAATGTTCTCTCATGTTTTTACTCCACCCACCTCCTATGTTCTTTGTATTGAATATATTCTCTGACAATATCAAGGTTCCTTTTGTTGTTCTTTAAATTGTGCTCACTTTGTACTTTTTCTCTCAAATCCACAGTTGCTTAAAAACAATGGTGTACCATAACTTAAATTACCTTGGCAACAGTGTTTTACAGATCTTGAACAATGTGATATGTATTAATGAAGTCGGTGATTGCTTTCAATAAGAAGTTACGTTCTTAGGGATTGAAAAAGGTGCGCACAAAGCTCCAGTCTCTAATTTTTCTTTATAGTAACTAAAATGTTCTTTTCTGAAAATGAAATTCAAATGTTAATCCCAATTACGTTTCACAATCTGAGTATGTCCAACCTCATCTATTACAGGAAGAGCCAACACTTTACCTCACTTTCAAATCCCCTTGCTGGAGCTGCCCATCATACACGGATAAAATGTCAAAATCTTCTTCAAGAGCAAAGGTGTGGAATGACAATTGTATCCGATTGCGTTCTCCCGTGATGATAATCCAGGTGCAGTTAGCATAGTTTGGGTAACCATGGGGAAACCCTGGACTCTCAATGGTGCCATTGGGACCCTGGACTAAGCCTCCACAGTTCTGACCTGAAAAAGAAAACACACCAAAAAGCATATAAGTTTGGCCTATCTTTAGTATATTCTTTTTTAACTTTTCCAACCATTTGGTAATTGTTTTTTGGCCACACCATGTGGCTTGCAGGATCTTATTTCCCCGACCAGGGATTGAAGCCAAACCACTAGAGTGAAAGCCCAGAATCCTAACCACTAGGCCACCAGGGAACTCCTTGGCCAATTTTTATAATGACTTATTGTGTGATCCTTCATGCACAAATGTTGAATGATAAATTGCAGTGGTGTTCTCCAGTGTTAAAAGATAGAGAATAACTCCTCCCTAAAAAAAAAAAAAAGAGAGAGAAGAAAAAGAAGGAAATATACAACTTTTTGGGTACTCATATTACAAATTTGGGGAAATATTTTTTACAGCTTCAGCCATATCAGACTGCCACATTTGTGAAACAAAGTTGGTGCCAACTGTCTGCACATTATCATGAGGAAACACTGCCCACAATATCCTTGCTGGGGAAATTAAATTGACAGATAAAAAACCATTAAATCACTCTCTAAATACATACACATATTAATATATCTAAATGAGTGCGATCTGAGGTACGTACTATGAATAGTTAGGTAAAAACCATGCTCAAACTTCAAACTATTTGCACCCACATTGGTTAAAGTCCCACAAAGCCAAAGAACAAAATGAGACCACGGGAATCTTACCCAGTTGAAAACAAAAGGTGTTAAGAGAAATTAAATTATGCGGAAATGAAGGAGCAAGCAGACCAGCAAAATAAGGGACCTCCCCTCTATGGATGTCTTCCTGTTTATCTGGGGGGACTTACTGGATGACAGAGAAGGGAGATGTTTGTTGAAATGATGGGCTTCACTAAAGAAAAGGCTCAGAATCAGGAATGGGTGAGTTTAGGTTTCCTTACTCAGGTTTGTAGGGTAACCCACACTTTGCTCACCCGTCTTATTCTTGCTTCTCTTAGAGAGGAGGAATTATGATAGCTCTAATGTTCAAGATCTACATATTTGATGTTGTGATTAAAGTAAGAGATATTTATTTGGTTTTGTCCCCTCTGGCACAGAGCTCCTTAATCTCTTGGAATTTCCTAAATGAAGGGGGTGGTGGTGTTTTGTTATGTTAATGGAGCACATTTTGGACCACACCTAGGGATGGGGCTGGTTGCCAGGAGAACATCACAAGGTGATTAGAGGGTTGCAACTTTCAGTCCCAACCTCCTGACTTTTAGAGGGAAGGGGGAAGGGGCTGGAAGGTGAATCAATCCCAATGGCCAATGATTTGATCAGTCATGCTTGTGTAATGAAGCTTCATCAAAGACCTCAAAAAACGGGGCTCAGAGAGCTTCCAGGTTGGTGAACACCTGGAAATACTGGGAGACCAGTGAGCTGAGAGAAGGCAGAGAAGCTCAGCACCCCTTCCCCATGCCTTGCCCTGGGCAACTCTTCATCTGGCTGTTGATTCCTATCCTTTAATAAACCAGTAATCTAATGAATAAACAGATTTCCTGAATTCTGTGAGCTGCTGTAGCAAATTAATCGAACGTCAGGAGGGAGGCCTGGGAACCTCTGATTATAGCCAGTGGGTTGGAAGTACAGGTAAGAACCTGGGCTTTCGATTGGCCTCTGAAGTTAAGGGCAGTCTTGGGGACTGAACCCCTTACCTGTGGAATCCGATGAGAGGAATCATAGGACACCCACTTGGCATCCTGAGTATTGCTTGTTGGTTGGTGTGCGGAACCCTACCCTACCGGTGGAATTGGGTGCAGGACCCAAACAACAAGAGAAGGGGAAAAGATGGGAAGGGCGGGTGAGTACCACAAAGCCCCCTCAGTCGCTGAGCAGGCTGGGAAGTGTTCCCCAGAGCTGATTCCAGGCTCCCTCAGCCCCTCAAGATGCTGTGGCATGGACTCTAATATCGGGCTCTCCTGGCAATTCTCAGATTTCATGAGCAGTTCCAAAGAACTGGACCTTTTTTTGTCAACTGCAGCCCTGGGATGCCTGCAAGGACCTTCTGCTAAAAGGACAGCATCGGGGAGGTTAGGAACAGCCACACACCTGGACCACCGATTGTATTGCTACCACGGGACAAACCCTAAAATCCCCCCCTTCCCAACCTCACCAATCCAACTCCTTTGGAGTATAATTGCTTTACAGTGGTGTGTTAGTTTCTGCTTTATAACAAAGTGAATCAGTTATACATATACATATGTTCCCATGTCTCTTCCCTCTTGTGTCTCCCTCCCTCCCACCCTCCCTATCCCACCCCTCTAGGTGGTCACAAAGCACCGAGCTGATCTCCCTGTGCTATGCGTCTGCTTCCCACTAGCTATCTATTTTACACTTGGTAGTGTATATATGTCCATGCCACTCTCTCGCTTTGTCACAGCTTACCATTCCCCCTCCCCATGTCCTCAAGTCCATTCTCTAGTAGGTCTGAATCTTTACTCCTGTCTTACCCCTAGGTTCTTCATGACATTTTTTGTTGTTGTTGTTAAATTCCATATATATGTGTTAGCATACAGTATTTGTCTTTCTCCTTCTGACTTACTTCACTCTGTAGGACAGACTCCAGGTCCATCTTCTCTTGCTCCCTGGTTTCCTCCCCACCTGTTCCTCCCACCTCCCCTTCGCACATAACCACTCCTCTATATAAGCCTTCAGGGACATCCTAAGTGGTCCCTGTAGTTGTTTATAAGTTTTCTGTGCACTACCCCAAAGTGTGTCTTCCACAACTATGGCTCAGTCAGACTGGATGAAAAAGAGCAGAGGCTAAGAGCAGGACGGGTGGATTATCTGAACTTCCCTGATAACGCATTTTAATCAACTTAACCATAACTATGACGGACATGTGAGGGAACAAAATAACTCCTATCAAATCGTTCCAACATTGAGTTTGTCTGAGGTTAGCTCTTAAGTAGCCTCTGCAAATGGCTTGCAGTGTTTCGTTCCTTCTTAATCTGGCCAATTTCCACCAAGATGTTTAGATGTATTTAAATGTTTTGACACTAAGAATATTAAGAAAGAATATTAAGAAAAATCTGGGCACACTCAGATTACTGCAATTAGTAGAAGCCCTTGAATACAAGTATTATCCTAGCTTTTACTGTTGAGCGACAAACAAAATTATTTCCAACTACATTTTACACTTAAAAAAATATTCACCATAGTAGCTCTCAGTGAGCTCAAATCTTTCACAGTAATGGTATCAAATGCTTGTGGGAGTTTGCTAAATCTTAAAAAAAGAAGAAATTAATGAAAGGGATTTATGAGTTTAAAACCAAAGAACTAATAAGAAGCCCATTTTCCACTAAATTTAAATCTAACAATAACACTGTAACAAGTAGATATTAAAGCTGTGGGGTTTTGAAAGGTCTTTAAAGAAAATAGCTTTTCTGGTTTATCTAGCAATACGTGCTTCACAGTAAATCAAAGAGTGAAGACTTGATCATAAATTGGAGGAAAGAAAAATAAATTCAACAGAAAAAGTGTCAGCTGGAAAGTAGTTGCTATTATAGACCCATCATGGTGAACCAAATTATCGGATATTACGATTTTTCTCCAAGGAGTAACACTTAGGCTGCATTTGAGTACCAGTTTTTACAGGGCATTTTGCAGAATGAGTCACATTTGATCCAGAGATAGACTTTTCCAGGGGGCCCGTTACAAACTTAGGGAAGTGCTCAAAGGTTCTTGGATGAGTAACTGTCAAGCTTGACTGCACATTGCAAACAACTGAGGAATTTTCAAAGAGATGGAGATAACGTCTAATGTAGTTGGTCTGGGCTGAGAATTTCCAAGACAATACCAGAGATCTTATGCTACTTAACGTCACATTTTATTATAAAGCTACAATAATCTGAACGGTGTTTAATTGTGCCAGCCGAGATAAAGAGCCAGTGGAACAAAACAGAAAGTCCCCAAACCCACAGAGATACAGACACTAAATTTATGACAAAAGTGGTGCTGCAGGGCTTGGGGGGAAAGATGGTCCTTTCAGTAGATGGTGCTGGGCCAATTGGACAACCAAATGGGAGAAATAAATCTTGATCCCCACCGCACAATATACACAAACATCAGTCCCAAATGGGTTACAGATCTAAATGTAAACTGTGAAACAGTAATGCTTCCAAAAGAAACATTAAAAAAAAGAATCTTCATAACAGTGTGGTAGGCAAAGATTTCTTAAATAGCACACAAAAAGTAATAATCATAAAAGGAAAACGTGAGAAGGAAATCAAAAAAAAAAATTAGGATGTATTTCCAATTCATGTATTCATCCAATGACCTATTCACCATCTAATGAATAAACCGCACAGATCAACAAGAAAAAGGCAACACAATAGAAAAACACTAACTAGAGGTAGCTGGAGATTTAGAATCAGAGGGGATTTTTCTAAAATTGGAAAGAGACAAAGGGATCATAAAATCTCCAGCGCTGACTACTACCCCGCACACCCACCCCGGGCCAGGGCCTGTCCTGGAGGTGTAAGGGAATAGCATTTTGTGCTAAAGAAAAAAGAAACAAAAAAACAAAAGAACCTGATTGATTTGGTCTTTCTTTGTGGAAGTAACAACCCCATTTTGTAACTTTTGTTCATTCCACACAACTTTTTTTTTTTAACATCTTTATTGGAGTATAATTACTTTACGATGGTGTGTTAGTTTCTGCTTTATAACAAAGTGTATCAGCTATATGTATACATATATCCCCATATCTCCTCCCTCTTGCGTCTCCCTCCCACCCTCCCTATCCCACCCCTCTAGGTGGTCACAAAGCACCGAGCTGATCTCCCTGTGCACTCCACACAACTTTTGATACTACGAGGGAACTTCGAATTTGCCTGCAATTTAGTCAGTATCTCCCGACCCATGTAAATATCTCGACTTTTACTTAAAAAAAAAGAGCCTGATGAAAATAATTATTTGTCTAAGCAATAGTGCTACAATGGTATCGACTAGAGTTCCTCAGAGTAAGTGGCATTAATTCAAAATCCGTACTAGTATTGAATTGAAGGACACCTCCTTATAACAATTACTTTAAAGCTGTGATCTCAGCATCTTTGGGATCTAACTAAGGGTCATGCTTCCTACATACCCACAAAAATAATGGCTGCCACAATGGATAATTAAACTAAAATTATTCTCCAAACGGAAATCCGAGGATGGAAAGTCATTATAATTAACAAATGTGAATAATGTATAGCTTACATTCTTCAACTGGTACCAGAACTAATACAGGTATCATGTTAATGTCTACCTGACATAAAGATTGCTTCAATGGAAAGACATACTTTTCACTGAATAAAATAAAGCCACGGATGAAGGTACACAGATTATATATGTCATATGTATACATTTTCAGAATTTATATGCACTTTCACATAAAGATGGAGTATGGGACTTGCCAATTGTCCCACCATCCACAAACACCAAGATTGTGGGTTCCCAGAAGAGTTTTCATCCTACCTTCCTTATATGATTTTCCACCTTGATTCTTTTTTTTTTTTTTTTTTATCTTTTTTTGCGGTACGCGGGCCTCTCACTGTTGTGGCCTCTCCCGTTGCGGAGCACAGGCTCCGGACGCGCAGGCTCAGCGGCCTATGGCTCACGGGCCCAGCCGCTCCGCGGCATGTGGGATCCTCCCGGACCGGGGCACGAACCCGCCTCCCCTGCATCGCCAGACGGACTCTCAACCACTGCGCCACCAGGGAAGCCCTCCACCTTGATTCTTATACTCCAATGGGCACTTGCCTGCTACAGACAACTCTCAAATATTCTACAAATCTTTTCTTTTTAAATTGCTGACATCTATGCTTGATGTCAATGTTGGCCTTAAACAGCCTCAAATAAGCAGATTATTTTAACTGGAAAACAATGTTAATGGACAAACTTTTAAATATTGTAAATGTAATCATACATTTATATATTGCATAACAGAAATCTACTGTAAGTACATTTGTGAATTATATTTCCTAAGGGCAATGAAATAATCAGCAATGTTGCAGTGAGAATTTTAATCTCTTAACAAAAATTATGTTGTTTGTTACAGGATGGAAAACTCAGTTAATACTATTCTTTAAGAAACTGTCCTTAAGGTACTGATGCTAGAAGTTACCTTGAAATCAAATATCAGTGTCAACAGGAAAAAAAGCAAGTATATATGTATCTACACCTATACATATAATACCTATAATACCTATAATTATAGGTTACAAATAATAACCAATAATGGAAGAGAATGTAAAAAAATATATATGCATAATGGAATCACTTTGCTGTACATTGACACTAACACATTGTAAATCAACTATATTTCAAGAATATTTCAAAATATATATATATATCAGTATATATTTAAGTCACTCACCATCCCGTTACCAACAATAATTATTGTTGAATGTTTTTTATTATTACTGAATTATTATTATTCAATGTTTTTTCCAATCTACACTTTAATGGTGCCATATTACCTGATGTATAATATGTGAGCAATTTGTTTTGGGGTGACTGTATATTTGCCAGTCCTATGGACTGAACAGGAGACAATAAGAACTATAAGTGTAGTATGTCTTGCTTCGTCAGTAGGTTGGCTGGTTGTTGACGTTGTTGTTTATTCTGAGAAGCTACATAAGATCGCCTGGGCCTCAACAACGAGACTGCAGGAAAAATCCCAAGTCCTGAGAGCAGTGTAGCTCATGATGGTCAGATGAGGTTCAGTGCTGGAGGCTGGGGAACCCATTCTGGGAAAGGCAGGGCTAATGTGCTCCAGGACAGTTCCCTGCGTTGAAAGACAACCTTGGAAACACTCAACTGAGCAAATAGCATCCTGCCCTGGTCACTCCTGAGATGCAACGGCCCCTCTGCTCTGAAGGGTCACCACACTTGGGTCTGTGCCTCACCCAGATCCTACTCTCTGAATTGTGGTTCAGCACACACTTTTCACTTCCTAGAAGAGAGTATTTGCTGAGATGATTCATCTGTGACTCATCCTGATTCACTGTAAGCATTTGATGAATGAATGTATATATACACAAATGCCTTCCTGACTCCACAAGCTGTTGAAATTGCTGTTTCCCTCAATTCTGGACCTGCTGACCCATTCCTGGGAAGTAACAGAGGTAGACGACATAATATTTGTAAACTCATATGCAAGCGTCTGACACCTACTATCTTGTTTAATTCTTGCACAGCCTTTAAGGTAAAAAGTAGCTTAGCTTTTTCAAGCTGTTATAATAATTATTTATTTATTATCATATAATTATAGTTACCTTATAGTATTCGTAACAGTTTTGCCAGCTGTTGGGGTATGTATTCAGATGAAGATTTGTGATAAGGTAGTGCCTTTGCTGTATAAAACTCCTCTCTGAGAGCAAACATTTTGCCATCTGGGATGTTTTAACCTGTGATTTGGTTCAGTGACTCCAGAAACTTATCATCTATAATATTCAGTATGTGAAGAGAGCCATACCAGGAAAGGACATTCTGTCCTGAATTCTAGCAACAAGGAAACAGGTCACGTGACAAATGATTGCCAGGACCGCAGAAGAATAATCTGGAGATGACAACATTTGAGAAATATATAGTTGCCTTCTAACTCTCTGGCCTGATATCATTTAAAAAAGTAAACAGACTTGTGTGTACAGAGTGTGAACAAAAGCTGTATTATCATCACAACCCTGTCTCTCCTTGGAGGCGGACATTGAAAATAAACAGGTTTATGTCCTGTCTGCAACAGGCTCAGATAATCACAGTGGTTCATTCTGAAAACAAGGCAATTCAGGAAGTTTTTTTGTTTGGTTTTGTTTTAATATTTATCATACTTGGTGGCTGTCTCCATTCATTCCCTTCATCCATTCTGCAAAAATAAAAATTTACATTTTTCATATATTATGTAAGTTTCTATGCAAATACAACTTTCATTACTTTCTTACAACCAGATTATTGACCTCGAAAGCTTCTCTTATTTTGGAATTTGTGTGGAAATATACTCTAAACCTGTAGATTTGCTGCAAGACTGAAAATTCCCTTCTCCTACTGGATGGGTGACAATGCAGTAACTCAAAAGTAAAAGAGAATGGTGCACTGTGACCCTCACTTGCATTTTTAATTTTCTTTCGTGACTGAGGAATATGATGACATGCTTATTAGAATTTCCCATATCAGGAGGCCTCACATTTCACTCACAGCAGCAGAAGTCTCTCTGATCAGATAAGTACTTTTTTGAAGCGGTAAACAAATCAAATACGCATTAAACTCTGCTCTGCATTAGTGAAACCAAGCGGGGCCTGTGGGGCTCCCAGGCAAGGAGGCCCTTTTGTCCCCTGTTTCGTGTTGGCAAGTCTCCAAGCCTTCCCTGAGTTCCAAAGGGAGGATTTGAACAGCTCTGAAGCAGCCAAGAAACCACCTGAGGCAAGACTAAAGGGACCAGAGAAACTCATCAAGGTTAGGAGACACATTACCTGAGATGAGACTAAGGGGTACAGGCCCTGCTCACCCCCTGATCTTGTGAGAGACCCTGCCCTTGAACCATGGTCATAAAGCCCTCATCAAATCCTCTGGGGCGGGGATACAGAGCTTTTCGAGGCAGGAGCCTGCTGTGGCCCCCTTGGCCTGGCTAAGTAGTAAACTCTCCACTCCTACTTTACCCAAAACTCTGTCTCTTGAGATTCGATCCGGCACTGGTGCACAGAAGCTGAGCTTCCGGGCATCCTTATCTTCTACGGTTTCATTGGCTATTTCAGGGTCTGCATTATTTGGGAAAGGATGAATTGTAGAAGGATCATGACGTAAAATGCCCTTCCTAGGACTCTGATTGAGGTGTTTCAAAATTACAGTCTTCAGGCATTTTCCAGGAACTGCATGCCCTAAAGGAAGTTTTCAGAGCATTCTATTTCTCAGTGTACCAACAGCAGCAACTGTATCAGCTACTATAGCTGACAGCCCGAGGCTGCTTGGTTCAGTTTTAATCTCAAACGCTTAGGGGAGATTACTCACAATGTGAGCAAAGAAGAAAAATAGAAAAGCCGGAGGCACATAAGCCTTAGTCCCCGAGATGGGGCCAAGAAATCAGTTCTTCCCTAATGACTTCACCGCCCATGAGCAAGGCCATGCAGGTAGCCCTTACACAACAGATGAGCCATCGATGAACCATCAATACCCAATTCTATCACTTATAAAAGAGAGAGGGGATTTCACTAGACTATGTAAGTATGGAGTACAATCTTTCATCATTGTACTAAAGTTTGTCATCATGACCATGTGCAGACTTGGTCTGCTTAACACCTTTCCCTTTCTCAAGCACCCCAAGACGGTCCCCACCACAGGGCCTTTGCATGTGCTAATCCATCTACCCTAAATGTTCTTCCCGCAGATCCCCCTGGATCTGACCTCTCCTCCGGTGGGTCACAGTGCAGGGGGCTCTTCCCAGACACTCATGTCCTGGTCAGTAGCCCCTCTCCATCCGTGCTCACTGGCCCACGCCCTGCTGTGTTTCCAGATGGCATTTATCATTCTGTGAAAATATCTTGTTTGCTTCTTTACTCGTTGTCTACCTGTCTCTGTAACAAATACGTAAACCTTCCAAAAGTGAGGGCGTTGTCGGCCTTGTTTATAACCCTGTTCCTACAAGACTGTCTGGCACTCAGTATTCAGTTATGGAGGCACGTGGGTGAGTTGGGGTATATGTGTGGGAAACAATGGTGGTGGTGGTGTAAATTATGAGTTATAAATCTATGTGCATACTCATGTGGAAAGAATCTGTCAAAATATAAAGTAGTGGTACTAGAAGGAACCTTCCTTATATTCTCCAGACAAGTGATTACCTAGAACATTCAGAGTGCAGTGTTGTCATTCTAATTCCAAGAAAAGGCATTTTATCATCTCCGTCCTATAGAGGAGTCTGATTGGCAACAGCTCCTAAGACTAATTTAAATATTCCCTGCTTTGAATGTAAATTGCTGCAGCTACTATGGAAAACAGTATGGAGGGTCCTCAAAAAACTAAAATTAGTATTTCCATATGATCCAGCAATCCCACTCCTGTGCATATAACCAGACAAAACTATAATTCAAAAAGATACATGCACCCCAATGTTCATAGCAGCACTATTCACAATAGCCAAGACATGGAAACAACCTAAACGTCCCTTGACAGATGAATGGAAAAAGATGATGTGGTATATATATGGCATATTACTCAGCCATAAAAAAGAATGAAATGATGCCATTTGCAGCAACATGGATGGAACTAGAGGTTATCATACTAAGTGAAGTAAGTCAGACAGAGAAAGACAAATACTATACGATATCACTTGTATGTGGAATCTAAAATATGACACGAATGAACACGTCCATGAAACAGAAACAGACTCACAGACATAGAGAACAGACTTATGGTTGCCAAGGGGGAGGCGGGTGGGGGAGGAGTGGATTGGGAGTTTGGGGTTCGAAGATGCAAACTATTACATATAGAATGGATATGGGACTTTCCTGGTGGCACAGTGGTTAAGAATCCTCCTAGCAATGCAGGGGACACAGCTTCGATCCCTGGTCCAGGAAGATCCCACATGCCATGGAGCAACTAAGCCAGTGTGCCACAACTACAGAGCCTGTGCTTTAGAGCCTGCGAGCCACAACTACTGAGCCCACGTGCCACAACTACTGGAGCCTGTGCTCCTCAACAAGAGAAGCCACTGCAATGAAGACAGAAGACAGCCAAAAATAAATTAATTAAAAAAAAAAGAATGGATAAACAACAAGGTCCCACTGTATAGCAAAGGGAACTACATTCAATATCCTGTGATAAACCATATGGGAAAGAATATGAAAAATAATATATATATGTATAACTGAGTCACTTTGCTGTACATCATAAATTAACACATTGTAAATCAACCATATTTCAATAAATAAAAAATGAAATAAAAATTTACTACCACATATTCCCTGCTCTATTTGAAGCTAATTTTTCTCTTATTTGATCCTCCTTCATACACTGGCATCTCTGCCTTTCTAGAAGTGGGTCATAATTCAGGATGAGGCAAGGCTGTGGTTAGTCAGACCTGGAACTGCTTAGATGTGAGGTCAATGTTGTTTCCTTAGCTATTGCACCCAGGGGAGGGTTTTTTAGTTGATTCTAGGACTGTAATAGGTTCACCAACTGAGAAATTCTTGCACTGATGGTAATAAAGTCATTCAATGTCAATCCAAAGAGATAAATTGGAAGAACACTGTACATAGTGTTGAGTCAAAAAAGCACTGGGCTGTGGATCAAACAAAACAAAAATGGGATTAATTTCCAGCATGAAGCACTGGGGATTGATCAAGTCACCTGGCTGACAGTAGCCTCAGCTTCCATGGGTGGGAGATGAGAATGACACCATCTTGCAAGATTGTAGTAGGGATTAGAGATGAAGCATGGTTGAGCAGAGGTAGAGGCTGGAAAGCAAAAGGATAGCTGCTGTAGCTACAGACTGAATGCTTGTGTCCCCACAAAATTCATATGTTGAAACCCAATCTCCATTGGTGTCATGGAGTTAGGAGGCGGGACCTTTGGGAGGTGACTAGTTCAGAGGGTGGAGCCTTCACGAATGGGATTAGTGTCCTTATGAAAGAGACCTCAGAGAATTCCTTCACCCCTTCTGCCATGTGAGGACACAGCACGAAGATGGCCATCTATGTACCAAGAAGAGGATCCTCCCAGATACTGAATCTGCTGTCACCTTGATCCTGGACTTCTAGCCTCCAGAAAAGGGAGAAACAGATTTCTCCTGTTTATAAGCCCCCCAGTCTACGGTATTTTGTTGTAACAGCCTGAACTGACTACGACAACTACAGATGGCCCCCAACTTATGGTGATTTGACTTACAATATTTTGACTTTATGATGGTGCAAAAGCAAAGGAGAAAACATACTTCAGGTTTTGAGTTTTGATCTTTTCCCCAGGCTGGTGATAGGTGGCCTGATCCCCTATCGTGATGCTGGGCAACTGCTGCCACAGCTTCCAGTCAACCCAAGGTCACAAGGGGAAACAGCCAACACGCTTGTAGACACAGACAACTATTCTGGAGACAGACAACTATTCTGTTTTTTACTTCCAGTACAGTATTTGATAAATGACATCAGGTATTCAACACATTATTATAAAACAGGCTTTGTGTTAGATGATTTTGCCCAACTGTAGGCTAATGTAAGTATTCTGAACACGTTGAAGGTAGGCTGGGCTAAGCTACGATGTTCGTAGGGTAAGTGAATTAAGTCCATTTCAATTTATGATATTGTCAACTTACAATGGGTTTATTGGGATGTAATATTGAGATGTAACCCTATCGTAAGTCAAGGAAGATCTGTACTGTTTTCAAAAAGGATAGTTCACTGGAGAGTCTCCTGATTTTAAGAGAATTTTACAAGTTAAATAATGAGTGGGACCTCACCCTTTATCTGGCTCTGCCCTGCTTTCCTTTAAATGCCTGGGTAGACGTTGCATTTTAGGAGGTGCCTTCACGTGCACCTGTGTCTGCTTGGTGCCTTGTCCACGAGGTCCTCAGCTCACAATGTGGTACTTAAAATACTAGGATTGCCACTGCCAAATTATTTGACTTTCTAGATTTTGAGTGATGAAGTTGGTTATATCACAAAACAAACCAAGTGAACACAAAACAAACAAGCAAATAAACTGTACTTTTATCATGGTTCCCAGATCTCACACTGATGCTCTTTCAATAGGTGACTTTTGGCCTGAAACAGGCTACCATCTAAATTTGAGTCTTTTCTCTCAGAAACTTCAAATCTACCTTTCTCTACTGCAAGTTATTTTGAACTCAATTCTACTTTGTTCCTAGAAGCACACCATGCATTGTCAATTAAGATAATTCTCCCTCCACAGCCTGTAGAACTCACATTCTTAATTGTACGTCAGATGTTGCTTTATCTTTTAATGAAATACCCAGTGATGAAACACATTATGATCGGTCAATAGAATTGAACTGTTCCTCAAATTTGAAATAATGTAATTCTGTATTTCTGCTTTAATACATGAGAATTCAAAAGAGGTATAAATCAGTCTCAAGGTAACGGTGGTACATCAATGTAGGAAAATACGTTTCCCTTAAATAGAGCATTTAAAATCTAAGATGTTGATATAGTTTAACCTTGATGCTGTACGATCAATTCGGTGATACTTGTTAAGAAAAGTAAAATAAAACTATCACCTGACTCCTTCCTGGGTGCTCCAAATCCCTACCTGCAATGGGGCCTATCGACCCTCTACTTGAATTATTTCTGTGCAGATGGATGGATCATCACCATTCCGTTCCCCATTTCTCTCTTTTTTGAACAGTAGTGAACAATTTCTAGATCTGCAAGAGAGATTTTTAAATTCTAATACTATGTTCTGTTTTAATGTTTAGTGAGAATTTACCTCCAAAGAGAAACTGAAATGTTAAAAAGTCACGCTAAAACCCCACTAACCTACGGTCAGCTATGAAGTGTGAAGCTAATGTAAACTCTCAGAGAGGAAAGGGAAGGAGAATATTCATCCATGAGTTCCTTTGTGGTTAAGGAAGATTTTCAGATTTAGAGACTGAAAGCCTGACAAATCACGAACAGGTATTTGTTTTAACCTTATCAAAATTAACACATGCACTTTAAAAATAAAAAGGAAATGTGTAATGATTTCCTACATACTTTGAATACCACCCAGAATGAGTGGCTGAGACAGCAGATAAGTCAGAATCTTAAGGGTCATTGTATAGGTTTAATAGGAAAGAACTGATCTCCAAGAAGTTGTGCTTAAATTTATCAAACAAACAG